ACTTATTTACTAGAGTATACATCTATTTCCTAAAGTGTAACATCCTTCAAAACTAGAGTGCAATGCAGGAGAATCTCAAGCAACTTTTCAAATTATGTTTTTCTGATGAGCTGACAACTAGAGGAAAGGCTTTTAGATATCAGCCACACTTTTAGATCTAGTAGGAGTAATGGGCAGTGCAGCTGCCTATGTTACAGAAGCTTGAACCTACATGTCATGCAACAGGGTAAAGGCTATTAGGGAAATCATATAGATGGCCTTACATCTGCCCTTTGCAGAGTAGCTATGAAGTTATTTGGTCCTGACATTCTGTGGAGCCAAGCATACGTGTGGGTCCATAGAATGTAAGTGGAAAGTAGGATATGTCTTGGTACAAATAATAAATAAATAGACCCAAGTTGGCCAAGGAAACAAAAAATTTCTTTGTTCAGTAGAAGTTTCTAGGTCCCTAAGGCCACCACTCAATACAATTTTAACAAAACTGTCATTTTGCCATTGCTTACTTTATTATACTAGAGGATTTTCACTGGAATTGGAAATTGCCTAATGACTCCAAAGCTACACGGTTTTTAAATTATTGGCTGTGTTGCTGAATTAAGAGAATTGGCTTCTGGTGATTCCAAAGTGACAGCTAAGAAGTCTCATATACGTGTTACATTTACAAGACAATCAACATCTCTATTAAAGTCTACAAAAATACATCTCCCCAGAAGGGTTCAGTAGCCAATCAAAAAAAAACCCAGTAATACAATTAGCAGCACCAGGTCTCCAGACCTAATTATTTTGTTTACAGGAACTACTGAAAATGCTGCTGTTCTCAGCCCAGAAATCATTCCTTCTTCCTGGTACCTGTGTGTCTAATTGTCAAAGTAAGGGTAAATTATTGTAAAATAACTGCCAAGTTGTCTTAAAAGTGTCTTCTATCTTTTAAAAAGACTAGGTTTAGTATACATTAGAGTAAAGCTCAAAGGGCAAGGGGAAATAATTAATTCACAAACTCAATGTAATTTGCTGGGAGCATCCCGGTTTTCCCAGTTCTCTGCACCGTGCCGTACATCCAGCCGTCATCGATGGGCTGCACGTTGACAATGTAGTCGCCGTCCCTGAAGGAGACTTCATCTTCATCCTGGGCACTGTAATCGTACATGGCTCGGTAGGTCCTCTGAGAAAAGAAAGACGGGGTCACTATAAATACCAATATAGTCACGGCCACAAATGCCAATCCCAACCAACCAGACCACTCAGAAAGCAACTGTTAGGAATGTTTTCAAGTACATTTATTTCTGGAGAGTTGTACACCAGAGCCTAGTGTCCTAACTGCTCATCTCAAGTTTACTAGGCTAGCAAAAAGCTAACATTTGGGGGCCAGCACGGGGATAGAGCAAGCCACTAAATACAATTGCTAGCCTGTCAAAAAGTAAGCTTTAAAGTAGTGATTGTTCGGCTAACCTCAGAGACATCAGGTGACATAGATTCTCCCCTAGTCCACAGTCCTCAGAGAATAAAACCTGCCATAGTGGCAGGCAGATCCATGTCACTGCCAAGTCACAACAACTGGCCCCTGGCAGAGGAATAAACTTTTCTTAAGCAAGTATTTAAAATGGTTGTTTCCTCTTAAAAATATACAAAACAAATAGAAGAAAAAATCAATAATATACTAATTTTTTGGCATTTGTAGAAATTTTTTGGCTTTTGGTAGAAATTTAGCATATACATGTTCTAAATATTAGGGTACATATAACTAAATCTTTATTATAATGAGGAAAATGTTTACTTCCTCACTTCAAACAATGTTATAAAACTATATCATCAATACAGTATAGTACTGGCATAAATCAATGGAACAGGATAGAGAGCTCAGAAATAAACCTATACATATACGGTCAATTAATTCATGACAAAGGACCCATGAATAGACAATGCGGAAAGGACAATCTCTTCAATAAAAGGTGTTGGGAACCCTGGACAGCCACATGCAAAAGAATAAAACTGGACCACTATTTTACACAATACACAAAAAATTAACTCACAATGGATTAAAGATACGAATATAAGAAGTGAAATAATAAAATTCAAAAAAAAATGTTGGTCTTGGTGATGATTTTTTTATTTGACACCAAAAGCAAAGGCAACAGAAGCAAAAATGAATGGGACTACATCAAACTAAAAAGCTTCTGCACAGCAAATAAATCAGCATTAAAATGAACAGGCAACTTACTGAATGGGATAAAATATTTATAGATAATATCTCTGATAAGTGATTAATATTCAAAATATAAATTGAGTTTTACCATACTTGCTTTCATTTAAGGCCAAGAGTTTAGTTAATATTAACATCAGATGATCCCAAAATCAAATGAATTCATAGACTGAGGAAACTGACTGAGACACAAAGAATTTTAGAGCAACTAAAGATAAATTTCAAACTGTGGGGGTTGGTGCGGGGCACCTGTTTCTAAGTTCTCAAAGGGCCAAGTGACTGTGTCAGTTGCTTGGAGAAGCAATTTCAGCATGAGATTTGACACCAACATGACCTGAACAGCGCTTCCAAACTTGACATTTAATTAATGAATTAATGCTTCAATGTTTCCAATGGGAGGATTCAAAGACATGTTGGCCCTGTCATTTAGGTTTTAGTGGCCATTTTGATTAATGTCCAGATTAATTAGTTAGTATGACCAAATATTTATGCTTTACAGACATGACTAAAGATCATAACTGGCTAACACCAATAATAAAATAACAATTAGGGTATTGCACTAGTAGAATCTTTGTGTCTCATTGTTTACATGTTTCCACATCATACCTTCCCTTCTCAATAGTTTATCTCTATAAGTCTTTTGCTTCCTTCAAAAATGTTGTACCAAGGACAGCACATCATCCTTTATTTGGAAATGTACATGCCCATTGACAGATGAACAGATAAAGAAGTGGTACATATATACAATGGAATATTACGCAGCCATAAAAAGAATGAAATATTGCCATTTGCAATAAAAAATGGCTTAGAGGATATTATGTTAAGTGAAAATGTCAGACATGAAAAAGATAAAGTGTATAATTTTGCTTATATGTGGAATCAAACAAACAAACAAACAAAAAAACCCAAATGAACAAACAAAACAAAAGAGCCTCATAGATAACAGAGAGCAAACTGATGGTGCCAGAGGGGAAGAAGGGTGGGGGGAGTGAGTGAAAAAGGTGAAGGGGGATGAGAGGCACAAACTTCCAGTTATAAAACAAGGAAGTCATGGAGACATAATGTACAGTACAGGGAAGCTAGTCAATAATACCACAGTAACTTTGTATAGTGATGGATGCTTACTAGACCTACTGCGTGGTGATCACAACGTAAAGTAAGTAAATGTCAAATCACTATGTTGTACACCTGAAACTAATACAATATTGTATATCAACTATATGTTAACAAATGATAAATGTTAAAATAGAAAATAAATAAAAATTATTTTTCCATGCATATTTATATTTTGGAGATGAAACGGGAACACTGGGCAAAAAGAAACACTTCAAACCCACACTTACTAGATTTGGTGAATGCTGCATTGACCTCATGGATGACAGGCTGGTCTGGTGCATGTACCCGTAGCCTTGGGAATGGCTCTGCTGGTAGGCTCCAGGAAGAACAGGTGCTGCACATTAAATACACACACACACACAGGTTCCTTAAAGCAAATCTCAAAACCCCTTCCCACCCCCTCAAGTGACTTCATGCTCTGCTAGCATCTTCTGAAACAAAATGCCATTTTTCAGTACAATGTGACATTTGGGTAGTGATGGTATAAGCAATCTCTATGTTAGTATAAATTCAGTAATTAAGGACATATATAGGGAATCAGTTAAACATGCAGTTAACTATATTAGAAATATTTCTATAACTCCATTGCAGTTGCTATATTAAAATAACACAAATACAAAAAAATGAATTTCCCATAACCTCTTAACAATATTATATTTTCACTTGGCCATGTGATCCTTTTAGATTTTTTTTTAAAAAAAGATTTAAAGAAATTTAATTGGATTGTCAAACCAATGACAGAGTATAAATGTTTTCACTGTATACTTCACACATAAGAGGATGCTCTGCATATTTCAAGACATACAGCTGAATGTTACCTTTACAAAGATGATAAGCACAGCGTATGTTTAGCAACATATGCTTGTTTAGCAGTAATAAGTCTACACCATTAAAATAAACCTTTACTTAGAATATGTGAATTTTCCATTTTATTTTGTTGTAAGTCAAGACTAAATCAATCAACTGAAGCTGTTGCAAGAGCATGAGAAACAAAACTGCTGAAAGAATGTCACAAACATTGTGCCACTATATTAAAAAGAATACCATCAAAATAGTATTTACTTAATTTGTGCTGTTCTTACCACTAATCATGACATTCAAAAGATATAGTTTCTGCTTTGAAGAACACTGAATTCTAGAGAAATCAACAGAGAAGCTAGATAAAACCCCACAAAATCAGTAGACATATGCTTGTGTGTTTCTCTGGAAGTACTTTTCAGTATTGGTAAGCAGAAATATGGGCTTTACATGAAGGCATTTTAGTAACATGCCCTTCACTATGTTTTGAATTAATTATATGATACATTAGTAAAACTTATGGAATACATGTGCTATAAAAATCCATAACAGGTTCCCATTTTTTTTCAATTAGGTTGAGTAGATAAAGTAATTATTATGGGTTGATTATTCAGGTCAGTGTTTATAATAAAAGAATAAAGCAGATGTAATTCTTGGGTGTTATGAATAATTAATGTTTTATAAGTGGCACATTGATTCTAATGATATATGAGAATATCAAACTTTAAAGAAATTTAATCATCAGAAAATTACAAAACAGTAATGTGTTCTCCTGATGATAATGACATTAGGTTGAATGGGGATTTTTTAAAATAGTTCTTGAATTAATTCCTATTATAGTGTTGTTACAAAATTGTCCTGATTTAATGTCTAGATGTGGCATCAAAGAGAAATTGCCAAGATATCTGTTTGGATTTGTAGTACATTATAAAGTTATTAAAACATTAAACAACTTCAAATACTTCAGAAAATAGCACTTTTTAACATTATCAACTCAATTTAAATATTTAATGTCAAGAGATGTCAAAGATATTGTCAAATTCACTCATGAAGAAAAATAATGAAATCCCCATAAATATTTAGGCCACCTAATTAGTTGAGTCAAAGAGCCTTTTCTGTGTGTTGGAAGCTGGACACATCGACCATTTATTCACTTGACTCTCAGCAAATATTTACTAAGTGAGTTCATGTGTACACAGGGCTTACTGCATTGCCTGTTACTTAGTAAACCTCCACGAATGTTAACAGTCATCACTATTCACTATTTTCGAGGCATGCCAGGACCAACAAAAACCATTGCCCTCCTAGAGCAGTGATGGCCCTGGACATCTGCCCTTTGCCCAATTAAAGAAATGACTCTGGATACTTAGGGCATTTCCAGTTAAATATATTAGTCAATAATTCCAACTGCATATTCCAGATTGGCACTTCTGAAGAGGTTTTTATCCATTACACAAGTCATTTCATTAATTATTATTTTAATGTACTTGTAAATACTAAGTAAGGTTAAATAAATAACACTGTGAACTTAAAATAAAAATTAAACTTTTAAACCTTTGTTACACTATTTAATTATGTCCTTTAAATTTTTATGTACAGAGTTAAGTAGAACCATCTCAAAATATTTTGGGGGAAAAACAGGAAGGGACAGTTAAAAACACACAACATTAAATATACTATCTCAGATGCTGTAATGTGTTTATGCTTAGTTAGTTTGTACCTAATCCCAGTTAGAGCCCATCAGTACTAACAATTCAAGAATGTTGTTTAACAGTATTCTCTAATATTGGCTTTTAAAAATCAAGTATATTCATGCCTACTCAATTGCTCAAGTTTGACCTTAAAGGAACCTTTGTTATTGTCAAATACCAGGAAATAAAAGTAATGTATTTGTGCCCAGCCAATGTGGCTCAGTGGTTGAGTGTCAACCTATGAACCAGGAGGTCACAGTTCCATTCCTGTCAGGGCATATGCCTGGGTTGTAGGCTTGATCCCCAGTAGGAGGCGTGCAGGATGCAACCGATCAATGATTCTCTCTCATCATTGATGTTTCTATCTCTCTCTCCCTCTCCCTTCTTCTCTGAAATCAATAAAAATATTTTTTAAAAAGGTAATGTATTTTCCCTAAATATGCCTGGGTTTGAGAGAGCAGGAGAGAAAGTGTAGAATAAGAAACCTTGGAGTAAATATAATCAATCTATCTAGTCCTTATGGTTTCTCTTCACGCTTTTGTTGATTATTTCCATTTCCCTCTCTGGCTGCATTATTTAATGCAAGTTCCTTTGGGGTAATTGAACTTTGATATCTACTTTTTACCTGGTAGAGTGAAAGAGCTATTAGGAAGCTCCTAAGAGGGCTATGAAAAACATAACTGAGAGCCCAGATAAATCAACTTACTAAAAGCAAATGCCAATTTAAAAAGAGGCACAGGGTAAAAGGGGATAAATGGTGATGGAAAGAAACTTGACTTTGGGTCGTGAACACAATACAATATATAGATGATGTATTATAAGAGTTGTACACTTGAAACCTATATAATTTTACTAACCAATGCCATCCCAATAAATGCAACTAAAAATACATAAAAAGAGGCACAGACATTGCTTTTTATTGTGTTTCATTACACAAATGCTTTTTAGAAAAGCAAAACAAGCAAAAGGAAATTGGAAGCAATGGCTTTGGAAATTGGGTTTATTTGGTTAAAAGATAGTCCATGTGAGTTGGGAGATTTCTTCCATGAAAATATGAAATTCAAAGTGTGCAAAAGCTAGATGTTAGGCTAACGTCACAACAAGCAAGGACTTCTTAGGAAAAAGAAAAACATAGCGCCCTCTTTATTAACTAGGGGTCAGGTCCCACAGGCACTGGTACACAGGGATGATATAAAGACACGATCATCTTACAGCCCAAGAGTTTTGAGTTTGAGGGCTTTTTATTTCAATAACATAAAAGTCGCAACACACTAGCTCTCGTTACCCTAAGGGCAACATAAAACACAAAAGTGTGACTCCCTTCCATTTCACATTGGTGAGGTTTACTGACCAGGGATCTGGGAGCTGGCAAAAGCTCCAAGGATCTCAGGGTGGATTTGGAGTGTCCTGTAGAGCTTATAAACCAAATTCCCCTGTGCAAAAAGCTCCTCCACAATCAGCCATGACCAATATTTTCTATTTATGGTTTATTCTTACGATGGAAGATAAAACCAAGATAAAGAAATAAGAAGCCCGGGCCGATTTGGCACAGTGGCTAGAGCATCAGCCTGCGGACTGAAGAGTGCCAGGTTTGATTCCAGCAAGGGCACATACCTTGGTTGCAGGCTTCATCACTGGCCCCGGTCAGGGCACGTGTGGGAGGCAACCAATTGCTGTGTCTCTTTCACATCGATGTTTCTCTCTGTGTATCTCTCCCCCTACCTTCTACTCTCTCTAAAAATCAATAGAAAAATATCCTTGGGTGAGGGTTAACAAAAGAAAAGAAGTAAGTAGACATGAAGGTCAGAAAACAGAGAAAGTTTTTATAAAGCTTCACAAATCTGAAAATGAAAAAAATGAGGAAATACATGCAAATATACAAAGATTAGAGTAAATGAACCCCCCAAAAATGTATCTACAATAAAAGGAGAAAAGACCCAAAAAGAAGTCCACTTAGGAGGATGTGCCAAGAGTAGGTGAAAGAAGTAGACTCCTAGTTATCAGGTACATTCCCACTTTTCAGAATAAAAATACAACAGCTGACAGATTACGCAGGAAGGCAGTACGTTACCTCTGCACTGTGACACCACAAAGGTCTCCAGTCATTAAAGATGAGGTGGAGATTTTAAAAACTGCACCAATACTATAGGGTAACAGTAGGTGGCCAAACTCCAAATGCAAAAAATAAAAATAGTGCTATATTGATGTCTTGGCCTATTGGGGCTGCTGTAACAAAATTCCACAGACTGGGTGGCTTAAACAATAAACATTTATGCCTCACAATTCTACAGACTTGGAAGTCCAAAATTAAGGGGTCAGCAGGATCAGCATCTGGTGAGCCCTGGCTTCCTGATTTAAATCTGTGTCCTTATGTGGCAGAAGGGGACAAAGGAGTTCTATGAAGTCTCTTTCATAAGGGCGCTAGATCCCATTCATGAGGGCTCCATGCATGACCTAATCACCTTCCAAAGGCCCCTCCTCCCAATAACATTACACTGGGAATTAGATTTCAACATGTAAATTTTGGTGAGGATGGGGGAAGACACAATGGCTATCTATAGGCTTAACACAAACAGAGAAAATAATTTGGGGTATTTTCTTCTTGAAAACTCCAAAATAAGGAGAAAATCACCAGAAGTTTTCCAATAAAGAATACAGGATGCAATAAAAGTATGGTCATATTTCCTAACACTTGACTACAATTTTATCAAAGACAAAGGGTTTCGTGGGGTTTTTTTAGGACAAAGAATTTCTATGTAGACTATTACAAGGGGATTGCTAAACTGAAAGAAAACAAATATAAAAGATAAAGTATTAAAATGCTGCTAATTTTGAACAAAATAAT